AAAAGAGTAAAATTAATTCATATAATGTACAGACATTGACATTATGAATATCTAATGGGAGATGCTGACTGACAAGACTTTGAGGCTTATGAAAGTCGGATAAGTCAAAACTAAAGCTTTTTTAAGGCCGGTAATTTTTGCTTCCTGACCAATTGAGAAAATTCACCATCGAGTAAGGGCTTACGTGAGTCTAAAACCGGAAAGCAATAATCCATTTATATATCCAAACTCTTACTCACGAGCTTCTATCGTTGCCATAGATGAGTAATTTTGTTAAGGCTACCACGAGAATTCAAGCATTTCAGGACGATCACAAAAGGGCGAGTTAGGTCCACAAAATACTTAGTTAATACTTCGCTCGCTTTGCACCCACCTTACCACTGAACTCCAAGAAGGTTCCAGGAAAGCTACCTTATGTGGCGTCCGCATAGAGCGCGCATCCCTTCGAAATATTGCGATTCATGTTATCTGAGAGACTAATTTACGAGTGTTCTTGTTTGGTGAAAGTCGGCTAAGGAGTGACTCAATAACCGCATAGATGTTGACGCCTTTATACATGGACATGTGCGTCGGTCGTTGCTGTAATTGAATATTAAGGAGATGCATCTTGACGAGTGCGTGCCAGGTGGATAATATGTAAAACAATTATTGTGTGAAATCGCTTTAAAATCCCGTTACTATTCTGCTGGTCCTTTTTGTGAATCCTATGGATTGGGAACGATGGGCTGATCGTGAGCATCGACCATTGCGCTTGATATGTCATTTGAGATGATTGTTGCTAGCTGCTGGTTCTGGGCACGTGCAGATTCGCATCACTTCTCGCCGTACTGAGGCAAGCGTTTGATATTGCAAGAAGCATTGCATCTTCTGATTCTCATTCAGAATTTTTACGTTTTGCATCTGTGTTTTCGTGTATTACATACTGATTGTGGCCAAGTTTTTCACGTGCACGCACTACACTTTTGCGGTTAATGTGCTCGCGAGTGGAACTGTTGTGCCATTATTTCTCCCTCTTGGCACGCCGTGCTCTGCGATGGAACATGGCGTTGACAAACTTTGCTGTGGGATGTGAGGCGTCGCACAAAAGTCTTATCAGTATAGCCGCTAGGATAAACATATTAAGGTGCATGTAAGTAGAAATATACGTCTTTTAAAGAGTTACGTGTGCTGTTTGCTTTTTCTCAGTCTATGTAACATTTTCCTAGCGCAAGCGCTACTTGACATAAGAGCTAGCCGATAACCGATGGTGGCCCTGAAGAAAGGGACCTTGGCAAAAATCTCGAACCTCTGCAATGAATATGCTGGAGTGTACTACGATGTTAAAACATGTACTTTTAACCTTATAAAAAGGGCAAGCATATCGATTATGACCTTCTTGACTATCGCATTTTTCAAATAAATGCATTTTGCGACAAGGGGGCCCACTTCAGCCTTAGTACTTCGAGCTCCTCTTCTTGAGGCTGCCTGCCTAGCAAATGTATCGAGCAGGTAAAATAGGTATGTTGTGTAAGTGTGCGAAACTTGGGAATCTCTAGCGATGCAGCAGCGTCTTCAAATTTCTTAATCGTGTAAAAGTTTCCGACAAAGTTTTGACTCGCTCATTTTTTTTCTTGACCCGTGAATGCTGCAACAATTTGCAGCATGATACCTTTAACTGCATCCATGTCATAACGCAAACTCAGGCGTCTCAAGATTTACTTATCGTTGTGTAAAGGATAAAAACTCGTTGAACTTGGACAGTTCCCGAAAAACTTTACACAGCTGAGATATTCTCTGCTTCCCTTGAATGGCGCCTTTTATATCGTTACAGCTCTCGGGTAACATGTCTACCTTTGCCTACCCATACCTGAGGCTGTTTTGACCGATTGTAGATCACGCCTATCGATAGTTTATTGTGAGCCTTGAAAATTTATACGAAAGCATCTGAATCTCCTTCAGCTTAAGTCTCTTCGTTTTTTTACACTTTTACAAAGTTTGTGGTGCGTCATCGATACCGTAAAACCCTCTCGAAATGAGGAAATGATACTTACTATACCGCAGGAGTAGATTGTAAATACTCAGCAACGCATGTGCTTACTATGGCGAGATTGTTAATTGTGTCTTATAAAGCAGATTCAGTTGTAGCTGCATTAGCAGCCCACACAAATATGTCGTGACTGATAGCAAGCAGTATAATCTTGTCTGCTACCATGTTGTTTTTAAGTGTAGAAACCAATACGAAAAAGACCGTATATATCATACATTTCAGCTATAAGGAGAAAAAGAAAGTGACAGATGTACCAACGATGTGGCAGGTGCAATGCATGATTAAGAAACCGAGACTATTTGCCGGCTATATAAGACCAAAGTTACTAAAACTGAAAGTGGGACGTGACTTAAGTGTGTGCAATATCACACAATCAAAAAACCAAGCATAGCTGTTGAAAATTTCAACATGGTCAAGCACTGTAGCAGCGACTTGATTCGTATAGTTTTCTTTACTACCTACCAGCAAAATTTTAAGGCAGTTTTAGCGACAATGTTTCATGTAAGCAGCGCACACACCGCATACACCTTGCCCCTATATACCGTAAGGATCCATGACCATGTTGGACCTTCTCAGATATTCAGGTTTGTAGCACCCAACTTAGTACACGTTCTGTTAAACAGTCGCTGAACCTATCAAAAAAAAATCTTAGTAATTGTCCATGGATTCTCATGAGAGCATCTCTGTTGTCACAATATATTCGCACAGAGCATTTTGCTTCCAGATGCCATATTACCATCTTGGTGCCAAAGCTGAATGATGGTCTCGCGGACCAATAATTATATTTTAGCCGCAAGGGCGGGCCTCATCACTGGGAGCACTAAATTTATTTTGAGTTAGTTCTGCTGTTTCAATACCGTTAATATGTTACGCTCACCATGTCACATGCCTATTGCCTCCACCAACCTTTCTTTGCGAGAGACCTTAACGAACCACGTACATTCGGCATCATTTTACATGTACAAGAGTTTATGGAACATTTCACCTCGAGTGTGCACCATAGCACACTTCGACTGTTAAAAATCATTTGATTTTAACCGCATTTATCTCCTCCTTACCACTTGACCGCCTCTTATCCTTCAAAAAATTACGCGTTGACGTCCAACGCGCTGTTCATTATATGGTTTTCACAAACCGACTGTAGGTCTGGACATGTGAAGCTAGCAGTACGTATATGCAGCTGCCGAATTTCGCTTGAAAATGTACGATTGAACTGTTAAGATCAGAGACATCATGTCAACAATCTCAACCCCTTTTACAGTGTCATTGTATCGATGTTAATTTCCGATGAAAATGTTCGCGTAAAACGAGCAATTATTTTTGACTGCTGTGGAAAAAGAACTTGAACACACTTGCTGTTAGCCTGAATTAGAAAAAGTTGTAAAAGAAATTCTGTCCTTACGAAGAGGTACAAAATAACAAAGTAATCGACAACAAAAAAAACGTTTTAGACAAACGTGTCACGTTCTGGTCATTCTTACGCACCGTGTCACCTCAAGGAATCCTTTCTATCTTCTGTGCTTGCATAAAGATTAAGCTATTAATAATTAGTAGCCTCACTTGTCACCTATTTCGATTTATTGAATCAAATAGGAAAATTTCATCTTCGATACAGACAATTACAGATGTAGGTTCACACGTTCGTTACTATACATGCATTTGTAGTATAAACTAATATGTGTATACTGGTAATAAATAAAAAATTAAATCTAAAACTTAATTTAGTTCTTCGATATAAAATACTTACATTACGGCATATGCGAATCAGCTGAATTCATGTTTATACAGCTGAGTCATTTTCAATATAACGTAAGATGAATTGTTGTGAAAAGCTCATAATTTTATATCGTCACATGAATCATTTCCTCCTTAAAAGGACATTTGACATTTGGTGACTTATTAGCCTAATGTGCAACGGGGCCACACCACCGTTACCATTCAAAAATAATTAAACCTTCATATACGATATAAAAGCCCAAGCTTATTCTATTTAATAATTGAGGTTGGTAAACTCAGTCATCCATTGAGGCAGATTGATTTTTCCCGTCCATCAATCGGTGTTGGACTGAAGATTACCATGCGAATTAGTTAAAACTCAGTATTCGGTAAATGTATGAGGTTTAGCGTAGAAAGCAATCAGAATTTCAATGTGAAGCTTCCATTTTGATCTTTTGCTGCCATGTGTCTACTTTTGACATCGGCAGATAACAGAGAGTCGGAGCCATCTTGTGGAGTAGGCTCTAGATTACCTTGTGTAATCAATTTCTCAAAGTCTTTATTAGCACCTCAAACCAGGGCTAGAAGATCTACAAGCGCAAAGAATCTAAGAGTCTTTGATGACTAGTTTATAATGAGTAAAAACTCTAAGAATTTATGAGAACTAATTTCCGTAGAACTAAGCGAATTCTAGGGTCAAAATACTTTCTCTGACTAAAAGCCGTGTAGTACCACTAGAATAGCTGTTCATGATTCGACTGGCTTTACCCCTTTTTTACGTAAATAGTCTTACGCACCCCCAAGTTCCTCCCACGTTACTTATCCGTGCTTTATAGTCTTACGCACCCCCAAGTTCCTCTTGCGTTACTTATCCGTGGTTTTCTGCTTCGTGAGGGAGGTTCTGATGACAAAATTGATAATCAGCCATACTGCAATGCGTAAAAATCAAGCAGGTTTCTCTAGCTGCGCTTTGGTGTCTTATTAAATGTACGCGGTGGTTAGCTGATAGCCATGACAAACAAAAGAACAAGCTGATACAAGAGGCAGAAGATGTACTGATTCTTGTGAATTTGATGACCAAGTCTTACTAGATTTAAAAAAGATCTCTAAAATTAAATCGTTTCTTTTCTTTTAGAAAATAAGCTGGCGCCCGCTCATTCATCGTACCTTTCACGTTTATAGCGAAGAATTGCATTGCCTTTACACTCAATATTTCGCACAATTTGCGCAAACACCCTGTGTGTTACGTTGGCTTCGCTTAAGCCATATCATATTGTTTCTCTCGCGGAACGGAAGGCGCTTTTGTCTGAAGGAGAGACGTCTTCCTTGCTAGCTGCATCTTCGTCAAAAGCTTCGCCTGACTATCCAGCGGCAGCAGGTTGTACCCCACCTTCCACAGTGGCTCGCCGACCAAGAAAATAAAACCTAGACGGTACAGATGCTCACGCAACTTATTTAACTCAGTCCGTGACTGTTCTCGAGCGCGTTGCACTTGGTCGGGGATTTCCCGTAGTTGTTTCATCTCCGTTACAGACTGCTCCAGTCCAGTCTGCACGTGAGCGAATCAAATACAAAATTACGCTATCTCTGACACCAAGTCTACATTCGCCTGTAATGACACACTGGACCATTCCTGCGTTTCTTGAAGGGAAAGGGATATTGAAGCTTTATGTGACGAGAAATTTGAAACTGCATCATCTCGAAGGTTAATACCAGTATGTGGTGAGCTTGAGCATACATTCAGAGTACGTAAATTCATTGTAGTTTGAGTCACCCCTTCGGCAAGATTGCTCGTACGCCGTTGACGTTCTTGAGCGTCGCGCTGATGGATAGCTTGCACCCCAACGCGCTTTTCGCCAATAGGTGTGGGGTGTACGGCTCGCTCACCAAAATTAGTGACTAGCGAAAATCAGCACAATCGTAACAATGATGGCTGGACTAGCAACTAATTTGCGTACTTAAACGTTCTCAAATACATTTTGAAATCTACTTTTGTTAAAAGATCGTATATAGTGACATCTTGATGATATTTTTGTGAATCGGTTTTCATAATTTTTATGTACCAATTAAATTAAAACAAAGTTAAAAAGTTAAAGCTAAAGTAAATGTAACCATTTGTTACACATTTTATCCCCTTCATTATTATAGTTTTGTTAGTAGGTTTAGAAATTGCTGTTCAACTCGTTTAATTTTTCTGCTTTTCCAACTGAAAACTAATGCAAATAAAAACGTTGTAAAAAAATGCCCATGGTGTTCTGTTAAAATATATTAAATTAACTATATTAAAAGTAAATAAACATTAAATTTAAATGCGTGCGATAAAACGAACGTATCTGGTTTTCGGCCATAAGCTTTTCAAAATTGTGGCGCAGCTTGAGCTTTTCCCTAACGTCGGCCTTGGAGGCATTGGCTCTAAGAGCATTCAAACTGGGCAAGCGTCGTGCCCTATGAGCACAACATTTAACGCGCTCTCATCCCCAGACTTACTCTTTTCGGGGTGCACAACAACTTGTATCGCTCGCTGAGTTAGTCCATAGCCACAAAGCGGCTGTTCTGTCAAGTTGGTTTTTATACCTAGATACCATCGTCGCTTTGAGCATCAGTAATCTCTCTTCGAGAGTACCTCGGTCGGCAACATCGTCAGACGTCGTAGCATCGTGCCCTGTGGGCCAAGTAGTCAAGGGCTGCCCTGCGAGCTTTCGCAACAACCCGTCAACGCTACAAGACTTGAAGAGATAGTCCGAGTGTGCCACGGTAATAGATAGGTCTGAAAATGGACGTCAAGCTCTCTCATGCTCCTCTATATGGTGTTGTTGTTGCTCATTGAGCCTGTTGGTGAAGATAGGTTCATCAAGAGTGGTTAAGGCACGCAACGCTGTAAGCGCTTGAGTCTTGATTTGGTCCGAAAATGAATGTGACGTTGCGCAAGAAGGTTCGCACTACACTGAAGTGGCAGGTCCGGGGGTCAACCTCTATTACGACAGTATTACTGTCATAATAACGAAGTTAGCTTCTCGTTTGATAAAATTTAAAGACTCGTAGAAATGCATCGACTTCGTCTTGATACGCGGTGTCGTATACACAACCGTAAGTTTATCTTCTCTCTCCGAGACCTCTTAATGAGTAATATGAAGATTTTTCAAGTTCGAATCATTGTTTCTAGTGAAAGAGGGTGTAACGAGGTTACACAAATGGTCAATGGTACACTAGTGTGAAACACAAAGAAACAGACCAATGCCACTGATAAGTCGTACTTGTGTATCGCATACGCCGCGCGATAATACCACATTCTATCGAGTATGATGAGAAGATATCTATCGTAAAAGGGTCTTCGAAGAGGCGACGTAGTTGTATTGTGGAACATAAAAAGAGCTTCTATGATTACTATTCGATTAGGTAGCATACTTTCAAGGTCCAAGACATATTTAAGGTTTGCTATTGCTACAAATCTATATAATTTACATTTTCCCTTTTGATCAGTTTCAGACATTTTCTTTCTAGCACGTCCTTAATCGCAAGAGCAAGTGCCGGAGTTAATGCTAAGTACTACTGGGTACTTGAGCCACGTATCTCCTTGCAGACGTACTTCCCTAGACCAGAACTAGAAGCTTAAAGCTTGTACATACTCTTGATGTAGAGTGTCAACATGTCTGCACGAATTGAGGCCCATTTAGCATAGACCTGCTTTGTTAAGGGGATAAAACATCGTATGTCATCGGTACTTTGTGTCTTAGACACACGAGATGGTGTCTTACTGAACGAGATATGTATTATCTTTCCAGTTGTAAGGGTTTGACGGTTCTCAGCCACAAGATAGGGAAGATCTAGAGGATGGCAGTTGGGGACATGAGTGCCTAGGTTTGGTCATATCAGGATCAGGGTATTCTATAGAGTTAAACGTAAACAAAGTGTAGTTTTCTTTTGATCCTTTCCAGACACCTGCATTGCGAGGCGTCTCTGATCGTTGATCATTAGGAGTTAGCCACCTCTCCAAGAGTAAGTTACTCTTGAGCACCAAGTGCTGTAAATTTAATGAATTGTTCGGTCCCCTAAAACAAGGAATTTAAGCTTTGTGCTGGTTAAATCATTGAATCTAATCCTTAGAGCTAATATCGCTCGTTAAGCATTAAATCTTCCTTCGAATTAAGTAGTTCTGTAGCTCCGCATAATTTTTGGCCGCTCTAGTTCGCGGTTTTTAACTTATCGCTTGCCAGTTGGTATTCTAGCCATTAATCATTGTGTCTGTTATGAGCATGTTATTTAAGTGACTGCTTACTATTTTGTACACAAGACTTACTATCTTCGTGCGCAACAAAACGATCGAAAGATTAAGCATTGCGCGCCATAAGTATCTGACAGTGGAAGAGGTTTATCGCAGAATAAATATTGTCCTCCATCTTAAGCAACAGTGCACCTCCTCTGCTGTCCGGCTCGCTGCGAATTTTGCGTGTGAAGGCGAGGAATGGATGCTTGATAATTGTGAAATGTTGAGAATAATCGCACAGTTCGGATGCTACGAAGGAAGCTGCCAAGCTGACTTGACGGATCAGCTGAAAAGAAATTTGACTTACGGAACCTGAGACTGCTGCGTTCGTATAACATTGGCACAAGTTGCGTTTACGTACTCGTGCGGGACTTAATCCCACTTTTATTCATCGTCGTCGCTTAGAGGTATGGAGTTATGATCTGTAACAGGATGTTAAAAAGTGCCTGTCTTGAAATTTGCCGCGGGGGAGACGTCAATGCGTTCGAGGTAGAATTTCGGGCAAAAGCTATGATATGCATTTTTAGGGTATGACAATTACCGTGACTTTAAACATAATGGAACGGGACAATATGGTCACACTAATTATTGCAGACCAAGTTCTCGCCGTCAAATTAGGCAATCCACTAACTGGTACAAAGACACTGTCTCTCTCGTATAGGGTCAATGTATTTTTTGAATTCTTTTGGTCTTTGCTCTCCGTTAGAATACTGACTTATTCTCAAGCGCATCGTACACAAAGGGTATGACGGCTTGCCATTATAGCAAATACGTGGTTACTCCAGGATAATTAGTAGTCAGAATGGTCTTTTCTTCGAGATTAAGTATAGCTGGGGTAGACGCGATAGAATGCTATACGCCAGATCCCGACAGATGGGTGTACACAGCATTAACAGCAATAGCAGCTACGAAAGCCTAGCAGATGCTTCGAATCAAATGATCGGAAGCATTGCAAAAACTTCGTTGAAAGATTTTCACAAATATATGTTAAAGACTAGGTTCTTCTAACCTTGAAGGGAAAGAAGTATCAGAAAGCGAGGTGCAAATATTGCTTAAAAATAAAATGGTGTAAGGGCCCGTCGAATCGTGCAAGGCAATTTTATTTATAATTTGGCGAGAGAAAGAAACGAACTATTTATCGAGAATGATGTCGTATAACTGCACAGAACATCGTTAAGCTCTCCAGCAACGCTCGCTTTTTTCCCTTCCGTCTCGGATGGGATGTCGTGGATATTTAACCACGTGGATATAAGCATTTACAACTGGATTAGAATAGTAGATCGCATTTTGATGCAATGGTTATCGAACAGGCGGGACGGGATGAAAGATGATACATTTTCCTGGGTGTCGCCACGGTTACTTGCGCTCTATTGCTGAATCTGCCAAAAAGAATCAGAACGCCCGTGTGTTCACTTTTTTCAGGTTAGAGGCATAAGTTGAAATCCATACCGAACAAGCTATAAGAGTATGTTAAAATGGCTAGTAAGCGTAAACTGTGCTTCACACGCTGGCATTTTACAGGAATGCACCCAGTAAGAAACGGTATAATACATAAAGGCCAGATAAACGTGCTGGAAGCGCATGTCAGAGAATGCGCTACGCGCACGATGCTGCAAGCATGAACGAGCTCGTGCTGGAGCTGCGCTAGAGACTGTGCGCGATCAAGCAGGCAGGCTATGGATCCAGCTGATACGTGCTAATCTTTCTGGCACGGGTTTGCGTCCTGAGAAAAATACATGCGTACGTACTGGTTCTTCTGGGACAAAGGCACGCAAAAATCGAAAATTTCTATAGTATACGTCAACAGAAGGCCAAAAGTGCATGGTAATTGAAATTGTGACGCGTCTACCGTTAGATTCTCGATTGCGCCCTCAATAGTGTCGCGAAGATCATCAATTATTTCCGCTTAAGGAGAGTTCTTTATTTGAAGAATTATTGTTTTGAGTCTAAATTGTCATCATCCATGTAGCATTTATCGCATTCATTCCCGAATTATTAAAGCACATAAACATATTAACGTTGTCTTCATCTATCTCAGAATCATGACTTATGCTGCTTCTCGTATTATTATATGTGAAACGCGATAATAACAGGACCGATTATTTACAGCAGTACGAAATTGGGTTTGTCAAAGAACGACCACCACTGAGGCTTACGCCGTGGTATGTAAGGACTCTCTTGACGGCGTTACGCAATGAGGCAAAATCCTTGATGATCGAAAACACTGTCATGCCAAGTCAATAAAATCTGAACTCGAT